ACTGTATGCCACACTCGTGGCAGTATGCGTGCGAGTCTGGTTGGTTGTCGTTCTCACAGTGGCCGAGGAGGCATCAGTCTTGGTGCCGGATGCATGGGACGTGGTGGTGGATGCATGGGACGTGGTGGTGGATGTACGGGACGTGGTGGTGGATGTACGGGACGTGGTGGTGGGATGGGTGACACTAGTGTGTGGGGTTGAAGCGGTAGGACGGTCGGACTTGTAAGTTGGCTGATATGGCTTGTAGGTGGGGTGCTGGGGCTTATGCTCAGGGTGGTCAGGCTTGTGGTTTGGGTCTTCGGGCTTGCCATATCCATACTCATAGCCCGCTGGGGCATCGTGGTTTCCGTAGTCCCAATCGTCCTCGTACCCGTGGTCATTGTTCCGGTCGTCGGCACCAACGATGCCGGCGGCGACGATCAAAATAGCAAAGATAGTAAAAAGTGCGGGAGGCATAGTTGTAAAGATAGCAAAAAGCGCGAGACCGCGAAGGGTAGTCTAGCGAGTGTGCGGTGAAAATATCCTTAACGAGCGACAGAGGGAGGCAAAAAGTAAAGACGAATGATTGAATGATAGGAGTGGGAGTGCGGAAACCTGCGAAATTTAAGGAAGCATAAGAAGGGAAGTCACTTTCGGAATGCCGGAGGGGCAATCATAACAATTTGCTTTGGCATGCTTCCCCATTCTCGTAGGTATGTAGCTGCAATGTTTCCAGGGTCAATTGATATTGGCATCAGAAGAGACGGGCTTATCCCGATGCTGACCCCCGGAGGTCGAATCCCACCAGAACACACATATAGTCTAAATCCTATCGTGTGAACCGCAACAAGCAAGGAGCTCGTTCCGGGGTTGGTCTTCTCATCGTGCCTTGCAGGATTTGCGCCAATCTAAGTTGAATTCCCAACGTAAGGGATGTCCAGTGACAAAGCCAAAACCCAAGCAACCGTCACCACTCAGAAGCCTGAAGCGCTCGAGAGTGCTCATGCCAATCAGATAGCTTGAACCCCCCCAGATTCTCGAGCCCGCCTGAGTCCAAGCTAAGCGTTTGCAGCATGCTGCGAATCCTTGCGATGGGCTACAGTAACATGACACCAGAAAATTATCGATGTCCAGCACAAGAGGGGCAACAATATTTCCCGCATAAAATGCCCCCGAGGAAATTCGCTTTCCACAATTCCTCAAGCCCGGTTAATGATCCAGAAAGGGCTAGTTGGTAGAATTCCATACATGAGAAATGCATCGCAGCGATGTGATGCAATCATCTACCGGTACCCCCCGACACACAAGGGTTTCTGGCAGCGCGTAAATAATTGATAGCGATGCTTCGTAGTGGGAGGAGTGTTCTAAACCTGGTAAGGCTAGAACACAACAACCGCAGGCGATAAATAAGAACTAAAACCGAGTGATAGCATATATACTTGCTCCATATCGCGTACCGAACCGGTATAATACAAATGTTGGAGGTTTGCCAGTATAAAAGCACCAGCCGCGGTAGACATTCCCAAATGCGATCAGATGTTTCGCATAATGGGTGGAATCAATCTCCAGAAAATTTCAATCTTTTGTTTACGACCGCCGTACTGTATCGGTAAAGTGCTCCGTGAAGCGCCCCGTACTCGGGTACCGGTACAGTGCCCTACCTTACCGTATGATACCTTGCACGAACCACAACCCCAGCCTCAAGGATTACCCCCCCCCCCCAACGCCCAATGCTACAATACACCCGCTCGAATACCGGTACGGTACTCGAGTAGACCCCGCTTCCAGAACTGGCTATTGGGGCTCATCTCACCCCCAGAGATATTTGGCGACGCATCACGATCCTGTATACCAACGCAGGGCTTCTCTTCACCAGGGTTTGGTGTTGGGCTGTTGCCCAGATACCAGGGTACCCGGACACACGGTCAAGCAATCAAGCTCAGGCCCGCCGAGAATCGTATCGTACCGTAAAAACGCTTTCAATTTGCAATCATATTACCGGTAACCCCCATAAATCGCGGCTTCAACCCGCCACGAGTTGATGAGATCCAACATGCCCAAATGACTCAGACTACGCCGCATCTGGAAATCACTGATCCTACTCAAGGACTCTTGTCTCCGAATCCCGAGATGAGCGATTTGAGGAGTTAGCGGAAGACAAGAGTTTTTACGCAATCATGAGACCAACCTAGCCCCCCACACAGGTCCGCACGTGAATCAACTACCGGTATGATATCTACGCTAGTAGCAGAGGACTAGCAGCTACGTTCCAGATCATTAAATTATATTCCACAACCTCTCACAGCAATACCGGTATATGAGCGACCTCCTACCCCCATCACCCTCCTAGACACTGGAATTCATGATTTTATTCCCCCCTTTTCCTTCAGAACCTTATACCAGCGGTATCGAAGTCTGCCGACCGAGAAAACCAGATCCTTCTCTCTCCATAGCAGGATATCCGGTAATAATGGAGCTCGAGCGCAGGCACAGCACCTGTCGCACTGTAACACCAAGTTCCTCACAAATATGTGCACTCTGACTGGGGTAGTGAGTCAAACTGACTGCGCAGTAATCTTTTACTCGGGATCCACTTGCACAGCACACGTATGCCCAGGTCCGGTATACGTTGCAAAAGCATCACCGCGTCCATTACGCAATCCACCGAAAAAACACGCTGGCGTGGTCCATACTTTAGACTTCCTGATACCTCTGCCGGACGGCAAGACGTGAGTGACAAGGCCGCCTTCAAAACTCGGCCTACGGTGGAAGCGAAGAATGCTCACTGGCGTTGCCATACCGGTACTCGAGTACTGTACAGTACATGTACAGGTACAGTACCAGTAGATTTAGAGCGACATTCCACTACCCCAAAATCCGGTGGAAATCCACTGCCCGAGGATAAGCGTTCCCCTGAAGTAGTAAAGGATCGGCTGGCCGGGTATGTTGGGTCCTGCTAGCCGGCACCCGCAATCAATCTACGGAGTAACCTGCTAAACTTAACATACAGTAGTGGGATGACGAGCCGCAGAGAATTGTGAATGTCACGGGATTACGGGGTGGGTATCATACGAGTACGAGTACTGTACCATAATATTTGGCTGCCGGATCCTTCCGCCAAGAATTCCCACTCGCTACGGGGGGGGATTGGAACGAGACTTGATCCACCCAAGAATTTAATGCCAGAATCCGAATCCGTTAGGGACATTCCCTGTCCCCAACATGCCCAGAAAGCTTGCCCGTTCCCATTCCTGATGAATCGGAGCCTCACCATACAAGGGACTTTGCGAAAAGACTCTGGATGTGGGTCAAACAGGGTTCTGGGCCAATGAGATCGCTAGAATTTGACCCTGGATGCGAAATCGCAAAGTCTCTACATCCAAGCTCTGTGCTATATCATACCTGCACCCGTAGAATACAGCACTGCACAGCATTAGAGTCCTAGGGTCCCCTCGTCAGGCCCGACAGGCTGGAATGCCCCATCATACTGTACCCAGTATCGCACTCGAGCACAGCGCAGTGCGACTTCAAGCGCAACAGGGCCAACTTCACCCTCACCAAATGACAATTTTCTAGCATCAGCCCGACGAAGAATCCGGACAATTAGCATCTCACGTTCAGGCTTCGCGGAGTGCCATGGGGGAAATCTTATGGGGCGTGACCCGAATACTGTACTCGAGTACAAGCACCATCCAAATCTTTGGAGGCCGACGTCCACTCGCACGAGATGTGGACCAGGATCTCCCCGGATAAACAGGTTCCCTGCTCGGCAAAAACATCTCCCCCATTCCCAACCCGTGCAGTGCTCGATTACAACTACTTGTTATGCTTCGAGATATCTACCGTATGATGCCGGTATCATGCGGATACATACGACCAACCCCCGTCCCACAATTTCCATACACGGTAACTAGACCACCACCTCTCCCCATTGGTGAAGCACAGATCAAATTTGCCGGGTCCCGGCATGAGACTTTCAACAAACAAGCACCCAACTATCATCGACGACCGGAGTACCGTATACGGTACCGATACAGCACCAGAATGAACACAATGCGATACCGTACCGAACGAGCACCGTGCCTGCACAAGCCATCTAGCGAATCCCTGGTCCCCGTGGAGAACCAGTCTCGTTTCCAGTCGGAGGAAAAGCCCCCGGCTGCCGGACCCCCGGATTTTAGGCCCCGGAACCAGAAGCCGGTCAATCCTCTTGGGGAAAATAACAAGTGATATTTTGTCAAGATCACAGACCCAGCCATGTTCGTACACTACGGTACAGCACCTCTTCTGCTTTGCCAGTGTCATTCACTCATCCTCCCAGCTCATCCGGTCACAACCCGAAAAGGTGATTTGACGCCCTTGTTTTTGTCAGCAAACCGAATAACCGAACATCTGTCGACCCCATCCCCCTTTGTCGGCCGATAGGCATCTGCATCCCTCAATTTCTAAGCAGCTGGTGGCCCAAGCCAGAGAAAAGAAGAAAAGGAAAAAAAATTCGCTTAACCGGAGGACCCGCTATTGCGGAGCCTCCCCCCAGTCCTCTCAAATCAATACTCGAGTACCGTATGCCCCCCTCACGTCATTGGGCCCCCCACCTCACACCAGAAGGACCCTGGAATTCCGCTACCTCCGCCGACCCCGCACAGTACCCCCAGAATTTCAGGGGCAAAAATAGTTCCCGGGAAGGATTAGGGCCCCCCTGACACGATAGGATCAGTCTATCGGATCCCGTTAACCTATGTCTACAATTGTGTTAGCTTCTTAGACCAAATCCCCTCAATTGCCGCCAGCTGATTGCCGATGGTGAGATAATGGGCTCAGCATTTACAGTACCGGTATTGGAAGAATGGCTTCGATCGAGCCTCAGAATCTAGACTAGCCGAGGCAGATTGATCACCAGTTCAATCCTTTAACAAACCGGGAATCTCGCTGTCAGCCGCTACGGCAGCCTTAAACCCCCCTCATTCCTTGAGGGCCAATTTTCCCACCTCCCAGAAAACATCTGAAGGCGAAGACGGTTCATGACCAGCTCCGGGCCCCTAAAACAGCCTGGATTCCCCACTGGGCCCGGTATATTCAACGTAAGTATAAAAAGATCATCCATCTTGCCTTTCCCAATCTTGCACAAGGCGCAAGCCAGAACATCGGACCCCCAACATCTCCAGCGCCTTCCCGAGAAGCAACAGAACTTCCTATCCACACCCCCAGTGCCGGTACCTTTTCGCGGAGCCCGGCTCTCCAAAAATCGCGACAGTGGCGACCCCAATTCCAACAGGGGAAGTGAAGGCTCCTGCAAGCCTTCCCGTGCCGCAAGATGACCCGACAGCGCTCTCCAAGGAACTCGGTGGGCTCACCCCACGGCCCGTGTATTCTTCCCCAGATGATGAAGTTATGACCGATGGCGGCTTTCAGGAGGAGGCCGCAGGTATAGAGGGAGTGAACCCAAAGCAGAGTTGGTGGCGGAAAAAGCGCCAGTTCAATCCCTTGAGGTGGGGACCTGTACCTCCAATCCCAACCCAGATGTCTGTGAGCAGGGAAGCAGATGCGGGATTCCTTAGCAGGACTACATTCGCGTGGATTGGTCCATTGATGAGAGTAGGGTACTCAAGACCGCTTGAGTCGGCCGATATACCACTAGTGGCGCCCAATCGGGGTTCAACACTCATCACGGACAAACTTCAGGCCTCGTTCGACCGGAGGAGATCCCGCGGTGATCAATACCCATTGCTATGGTCTCTGAACGAGGTCTTCTTTAAGGAATTCTGGCTGGGTGGGCTTTTCAGGATTGTCGCCGATTGTTTATTAATATTTGTGCCGTTCGTGCTCAAGTGAGTAACCCACCGCCCTGTAGACCAGCAATTCATTTTTGTCCCAGTAACCGTACGCCCTCTAACCAAAGCATCTCAGATATCTCATTCGATTTTCAGTCGAAGCGTATACTGCTTCCGAGCGTGGAGTTCCTGGACCTCCTGTTGGTCGAGGTATCGCACTTGCGTTCGGCCTAGCCCTCATGCAAATATTCGGATCACTATTCACCAGTCATTTCATATACCGCGGTATGATAGTTGGTGGCCAAGCACGGGCCGGGCTCATCGGAATGATATTCGCCAAATCACTGAAGATCTCCGGGAGAGCGCGGGCCGGTGGCGCACCAGGTGGGAATAACATGAGCGATGCAGAAGCCAGCGCGGATCAAAAGCGGAAGGATAAGGATAAGAAGGCTAATGGCGATGGAGAAGGGGTGGGTTGGTCTAATGGTAGGGTTGTTAATTTAATGGGGACAGACTCATATAGAGTTGATCAGGCGGCTTCCTGGTTTCATCTATTATGGACATCAGCGTTTCAGATAATATTGACATCGATATTACTACTTATCAATATTTCGTACTCTGCCCTTGCTGGACTTGCGATCCTAACCTTGGGAGTGCCGGCGGTGTCGTGGGTTGTCAAAATTTTAGCAGCTCGCCGAAAAGTTATGAATCGAGTTACCGACAGACGAGTAGGATTGACCCAAGAGATTCTCCTGGGCGTGAGATTCGTCAAGTTTTTTGGATGGGAAAAGAGTTTCCTTCAGAGACTTGAATCGCTCCGGAATAAGGAGATCAGTGCCATCCAATTCCTACTAGGGGTCAGAGCTGGAATAAATGCTGTTGGGATGAGCCTTCCCACCCTTGCTTCAATGCTCGCGTTCATTACATATTCCCTCACCGACAATAGCCTTGACCCCGCAGCCATATTCTCATCACTTGCCCTATTCAATACCCTTCGTATACCTCTCAACCTTCTTCCCGTGGTCATTGCCCAGACAATTGATGCTTGGGTGTCTATCCAGCGGATGCAGGATTATCTACTCGCTGAGGAGATAAAGGACGAAATCGTAATTGATGATAACCCAAATTACGCCATTGAGATTTCTAATGCGGGCTTCACCTGGGAGAGGGTGCAGGCGGAGGAGAGACCCGATTCGGATAAGACGAAAGGTGAACTAAAGGAGGCGAAACGCCAGAAAAAACTCGACAAAGGGTACAAAGCCGGAAGAGAACGAGACGGCGAACCAGAACCGGGAAGCGTTCCTACAGTCACACCCGCAGAGGAGCCCTTCTCCCTCAGGGATATCGACCTCCGTGTCGGCCATCGGGAACTAATTGCGATCGTGGGCTCTGTTGGCAGTGGCAAGAGCTCTCTGTTAGCTGCCTTAGCCGGCGATATGAGAAAGACCTCCGGAAACATCAAACGAGGGCCCCGCGTTGCCTATTGCCCACAGTACGCTTGGATACAAAATGCGTCTGTTAGAGAGAATATCACATTTGGACGTGAATTTAAAGAGGATTGGTACGCTGACGTAGTCGACGCTTGCGCACTGCAGCAAGATCTGGATATGCTGCCCGATGGTGACCAAACGGAGATAGGCGAACGCGGGATCACAATTTCCGGCGGACAAAAGCAGAGGCTCAATATCGGTAGAGCAATTTACTTTGATGCCGATATCCTATTGATGGACGATCCCTTGTCTGCCGTCGATGCTCATGTTGGCAAGCACCTATTCGACAAGGCCATATGCGGACTCCTCAAAGATAAATGCCGGATCCTTGCAACTCATCAGCTGCATGTCATCAACAAGGTGGACCGAGTTGTCTGGATGGAGGACGGGCGGATAGAGGCTGTCGGCACATTCGATGAGTTGATGGAGACCAGTGTGGAATTTGCGAGAATGATGGGCGAGATCGCAACCGAGTCGAAAGAGGAAGAGAAAAGGCCCCTCGCGGACGATCAGATCGAGGAGGATGCGGCGGAGGAAGCGGAGGAGGCGGAGGAGGCGGAAAAGTCCAAGGACAACAATATTGGTGAAAAGGGTAACGGATCGCAGGCAAAGGTACTAATGCAGGCTGAGGAGAGAGCTGTTAAGAGTGTCCCTTGGAATGTATACAAAGCGTATATCAGAGCCTCTGGAAGTTACCTGGTCGCCCCAGGTGTTATGTTTCTGTTGGCCATCGCCCAATCCTGCAATATTATCACGACGCTCTGGCTCGGTTGGTGGATCAGTGATAGATTTGGGCTTTCTCGGAGCACCTACATTGTGATGTTCGCTGCACTCGGTATCGCGCAGAGTGTATTGATGTTTTCCTTCTCCATCGCGCTTACTATTGCTGGCACAAGAAGTAGTAAAGTGCTCATGCACGAAGCCATGAATTCTGTTTTGAGGGCTCCAATGTCATTCTTCGACACCACTCCCATTGGCAGGATTGTCAACCGTTTTTCCAAAGATGTGGATATAATGGACAATAATCTCACGGATGCTATGAGAATGTATTTCTTTACTCTGTCAATTATATTGTGCGTTTTCATACTCACCATTGTTTATTTCCACTATTTTGCTATCGCGCTAGTGCCGTTGGCGATTGGATTTATTTTTGCGGCATCTTACTATCGGGCATCGGCACGCGAGGTCAAGCGGCATGAGTCTGTTTTAAGGTCCGTGGTTTTCGCAAAGTTTGGAGAGGCGCTCACAGGGACGGCTTGTATCAGAGCATACGGCCTGCAACACAGGTTTGTCGCCGAGATTCAAAAGGCGATCGATGGAATGGATTCGGCATACTTTATCACATTCGCGAATCAGAGGTGGCTGAGTTTGAGACTGGACGTCATCGGCAATTTGTGTAAGTCTTTCAATCCCCCGCCCGACCATGATTGGGTTGGCAGTCTCGTGCTAACATTCGTTGCCTTTTCCAGTGGTCTTTACGACATCGATTCTAGTGGTTACATCCCGATTTAGCGTTAATCCGAGTATCGCTGGAGTCGTGCTGTCATATATCCTTCAGATTGTAATGATGCTGCAGTGGATGATTCGCCAGTTAGCCGAAGTCGAAAACGCAATGAATTCAACGGAAAGAATCCACTTTTACGGGAATTCTCTGCCCTCTGAAGCCGAGCTACATAAGGGAGCTATTCGACCCTCTTGGCCAGAACACGGTGAAATCACGATGCACAATGTAGAGATGCGATACAGGGATGGTCTACCACTAGTTCTTAAGGGATTCAGTATGCACGTGAAAGGCGGCGAACGTATCGGGATCGTCGGTCGCACAGGCGCAGGGAAGAGTTCGATCATGAGTGGGCTCTTCCGACTCGTCGAGCTGAGCGCTGGAAGTATTATGATCGACGGGGTTGACATCTCCAAGATTGGACTCCACGACCTTAGGAGCAAATTGGCCATCATACCGCAGGACCCGACGCTCTTTCGCGGAACGGTCCGGTCTAATCTGGATCCCTTCGGAAAGCATACTGATGAGGAGCTATGGGGAGCGCTCCGTCAGGCTAATCTCGTCGAAGATGTGCCGGCGGATGGCATCGTGGGGAGCGGGAGAATAACCCTGGATGGGGTGGTGGAGGAGGAGGGAATGAACTTTTCTCTAGGGCAACGTCAACTCATGGCTCTGGCGAGAGCTCTTGTACGGGGGAGTCGGATCATTGTCTGTGACGAAGCAACTAGCAGTGTGGACATCGAAACAGACAGGAAGATCCAAGGAGCAATAGCAAAGGGGTTCAAGGGGAGGACATTGCTCTGTATCGCTCATAGATTGAGGTATTTATAACCCTTTTTTGACGATATACCCTTCCTCCTTCCCTCATTCACCACAAGGACAACTAACGGGCATACAGAACCATCATCAAATACGACCGGGTATGCGTGATGGATGCCGGGAAGATTGCAGAAATGGACACACCTTTCGCGCTTTTCGATGCAGGAGGCATCTTTCGAAATATGTGTGAAAGGAGCAAAATTAAGAGGGAAGACTTTTTCGCAACTGGCGACGATTCTGAGGATGAGTAAGTGGATTGAAGTGGATGGGCAAAGTACTCGTACCAATAGTGGGAAGTTTTGAAGTAGGAAGTAGAGAGGGGAGTTGTAGACAGAAAGGAAAATTTATCGGAGATGCGGAGAAACATTTGGGAAGTTTATAATAGCGCCGGGAGTGGCCCCCGATACATTATCGAGATTTCATGTGACAGATTCAGTATGTATCATACCAACCTAAGGGAGAAACGTTGTAGTTTGGGGGGGGAGGGGGTTTCTCTTCATCTACTGCAAGGGATGAAGTGCCGGTTGGGAGAGCACAGCCGCGTCCGCAAAGTTCCTTACTCTTCAAGGCATTGCTCGCCTTTGGAGGCGCTTCACTAGCCTCTCTTCCAACTACCGTATTCAGTAAAACAAACCACTCAAGTACCGAGTATGATACTCGAGCAGAGGTTCACAGCGTCCCAAGAAGCATACTGCACTGTGCAACACAGCAGATATTGTCAACACGCACATCGCACATAGCACATAAGACAAGAAGCGCAGCGCTGAACACAACAGTACAAGCTGGAATTGGAAGTGCCACGGGGATTGGATAGTTAGCTACAGGTCGGGGGGGTTACGATAGGGGGTAAAGTAATGTACAACGCCAAGTTAATCATGGGAAAGGAGGAAACTACGGTATCTTCCTTTATTAGTACTTGTAAGATTACTCGTAGCTTTTCTGCACATCTGAAAAGCATTCCTCCTATCGTACAAGAGAGTCCAATTTGGGATCATGAGCGTGGCGGCCAATGGGTTATGATCTCATGGCTTTGATACTCGTATCTTCATCGTTTATTAAATTTTGCTTTTTAAATTGAGGGTTGGTTTGAAGCTTCTTTTGACTAGGCAGGGTATTTTGACAAGACCTACGGCAAGGTGCTTGCTATGGATTCTCCTACATGTTAATAATAATCCACGGACTCAAGAAGAACGAGTGTGTGTGTGCCCATATGTGTGTGATAACCCTGCACAAGTTCCCTCCCTCGATGGATCCGGACCTACTGTAACGCTATTGACGGGCGGAAAATCCAGACAATGTCACTTGGTATCCAATCAAAGCAGAAAGAAGAAAAAGAAAAGAAATTTTGCAGAAGAAGCATAACAATCCAGTTAATCTGAAGGCAGGAAGGAAATCCAAATAGTCGGGGTTCACCGGCAGACAGACAGGGCCCCGTGCTCAACTGCGGCGATGTGAGCTGGCGGGAAGTAGGAGAGGGGGCAAGCCCTGTATGATGCGATATGATGATCGGGGAATATGGTGAGTAGGGATGGTGAAGTTACAGCAAGAGCAGGAGCGTTCAGACACAAAAAAATTTATCCACAAGGTTGACCGTGCCTGCCGCTCTGCTAGCCCCAAGTGCAGGAAAGTACTGAAGTGCGGTGCTCGAGTACCGTATGATACAAGTGCGGGTAAGTTGCCCGAAAATTAGAACCAGGGAACTAACTCCTATCATACTAAAAAAATTCCGAGCCCATTCGAGTGCCGGGGCAAAACAGCGATACTTGTATAAACCCCCTGTTGTTAGGTACTCCTTTCACCTTTTTTTTATAAAACTTTCGCCTGGGACAGGTCCAGGCATCCATGTCCGCCTGTCTGTGCTATAGGCTACCCGTGGATCTTTTTTGCACTGCAAGTTTCTTCCGGTGTCTTGCATTCCGTCTGGCAGATAAGACAAGACGATACGGCAGGCAAGACAAAAACACGACAATGTGTCAGCCGCGGAACCACCCTTCTCGCAGTATTCTGAGGAACGGGTAATGCCAGCCGCACCCACCATTCATCAATCCTCAGTCAATTCCCAATCCAATCCAAATCTCACAACCAATGGTTCGAAAACCACCACCGCTCACCGCTGACCTAGTGAAAAAGAAAAGAAACCAGAACCCCCCCGCTAAGTCTAAGTTACGCCATGCCTGTCACCCATAGCTTGGCGCGATGAAGATGGAGGAAGAAAAAAAAAGAGGAAGGAAAAACGAAAAAAGCCGAGTTCCCACCTTTTCCCTTCTTCTACCCTCTACCCCCCCCCATCTACTTAACCTTCCAATCCCGACAATTCTAGTACTGTGGCATACACACTCCCCAACTATAAGCAGCTCACCCCTCTCCTTAATCCGGCATCAAGCAGCAAGCAGCAGGCAGCACAAACAAGCTACGACGAAATGCCATCGCCCACGTCAACGCCTATCACGATTCTCACAGGATTCCTTGGGTCCGGGAAAACAACATTGTTGCTGAAGCTCCTGCCGCAGCTACCGGCGAACTATGGACTCGCGTTATTGAAGAATGAGTTTGGCGATGTGGCGGTTGACAGTCGGTTAGCTTCTCAGGGGTCTATTTCCGGGGTCAAGGAGTTGCTTAACGGATGGTTTGTTATTCATTGCCCCCCGTCTCCCAAACTGAACACATCCGAAAGGCAGCCATTGACTTGTGAGCGGGGAGTTGTAGTATTTGTTGTAATCTCGTCGGGCAATTGGGAAGTGCACTTATGACATTAAAAACCGATTACAGGCCGAATAGGATTGTCATAGAGACTTCTGGGAGCGCTTTTCCCGCTACACTCGCTATGGTTCGTTTCTGTTGCCACCTCCTGAATTCACTGTCCGTGCTAATGGTGAGAAGGAAGTAAACCGTGTCATCTCCGAATACCCGAACTCCTTCGTCCTGGACGGCGTAATCCTGGTAATCGACGTGGAGAACTGGGCCGGTTACGCTGACACCTCGTACACCGCAAAGCTACAGGCCCGATACACAGACCTAATAATCCTAAACAAGTGGGAGAGTGTGACGGAACGACGGGAAGACGATGTGCTAGATAGAATCCGGGACGTGAACGAGGACACGCCGGTCGTGAAGAGCGACAAAGGATGGGTATCCAAGAACGTAATATTTGGCGTTGACAGTGGTCTAGCGAGAGAATTGTCCGCAGCAACAATGGCACGGGGCCACGAACACGATGAAGGGGGTGGGGAGGAACATACCCAAGAAGTCGACGTTATATCCGTAACACTACCGTACCGAGTCGAGGCCGGCGGGAAATGGATTGATCTGGAGGCGCTCGATCGGTTCCTAACGTCTGCACCAAAGGATGAAGTCTACAGGATAAAGGGATCCATATTCTCACAGACAAAACCGAAATCCGATCCACCGCTGACTAAAGACGCGCATCGGTTCATCCTAAACTGGGCATTCGGCCGATGGACCTTCACAGCCCTCCCAAAGTCTAGTGTGTCTACGGTAATCGAAGCACCATCTCTACGTCCTACCTCCTCCTCATCCGCGAATTCCACAGCGCCGCCAAGCCCCTCGGAGGAGAACCAACGAATCGAAGTGATCGTCCAAACAAGCATAAAAACTACAATAGAGCAACGAGACCAGAACGACGTTGGTCAAGAATGGGATGGCGAACCAGTGGGCAGGTTCGTAGTCATCACGGCCCGCGGCGAGGGTGAACGGTGGCGGAAGCGGATCGAGAAGGAATCCTGGATCAAGTTTGACTCGGAGGTTTCGGAAACCGGGCTCGAGGTTGTCCAGATTACGTAACTTATCCGGCTACTAACGACGTGGGGCAAGAATGCATGCCAAGATGGGAAAGTGGAAGGGGGGTGGTGGCGTTGGGGCTTCTTTGGGATTTTATGGTATATACTTTTTTTTCGAAACGGGCTTAGAATGTATGGACGGCACAGAAGGAGGACTGAACGGTTGCTGGAGGTGGGTGGGGAGTGGGAGGGAACAGGAGCCGTAATGAAGAAAACCCGGGGACTGTTACAGAGCGCCATAGCGGTTAAGTGTTATCACGGGAATAGAAATGAAAGTGGGAAATTACCCCTCTCGCAGCTTCTCCACATCCATTTTCCCCTACCCGTTGAATCGAATTTTACCCTTCTGCCCTGGACCCCGCTTTCCCGATTCTCCGCCGCTCTCGATGAATTTTCCTGAATTGTGAATTTCTTTGCACCAAGACCTAACCTGTTGTGCTGGACGGCTTCTTAGGACTCCGACCTTGCGGGGTATCTGATAATAATTCCAACCAAAGTGACCATCACAATAAATCACTCGAAAAGGCAACCCCACAGGCCCATTCCCTAGCGTTAAATCATTCAATCGCTCAACTACCTAGCTAGACTGCCACCGAACCGGCATATCAGTGCAAATCCCCTTGGTCGGTGTCCACCTTCGCATGCGGTGGCACGGCATTTTCCCCGGTATTACACCATATCCCCAGAATCATCTTTTCTCTAAGAAGATTAAAGAACAGGGTCTCCTTACGTCAACCATCCGTCCCCTAATGCATCGCTCTTTTGTATGATGTGTAGGATACATACGAGGTGAATTCACACTCCATGGGTGATACCATATACACAGCCTTACTTATTCCCCTCGGAGACTTCTAGCGAGAGAAGCTAGACCTCCCTCCGCAGTGTAATGACCCGGCACTTTACACCCAATGTAACACTGGAAGGGGGGGGGCGAAAAGGAGCAGCGTTTCACGAAGTCCTCTGCGCAGCAAAGATGGTTCGGCCATGCCGCAGTGCTGAGGATGCCGTGAGTGACCGCTTAGTATTAGTGGCAGAATTGCACAAACTCGTGAAGGGGATTGGGAGGCAAGCCTCTTTACCGAAGTCTTAGCTTTGCCCTCCTCTTCCCCCTTTTGTTAGGCGATAACTTTAGTATACGGGAATGGGTAGGTAGTGGGTGGTGCATAATGTGCTGTCTTTGGTCAAGTTCTTCTGTATGTTTGGCGGGCTGGAAGGGGGGGCACAATGCGCAGCGAGTACTCGAGTAGGTGAGGTAGTATACAGCGGAGTATATACTTCCAGCAGTGTGTCTTGCGTAAAGGGGCGGGTTGAATTGTTTGAAGTAGGGGGTGCCGGCAGGCAGGCAGGCAGGCACTAGACCATACGCTAAGGAAGTCCACCTCCAGCATCTGCATTACCCGTGCCCGAGTAGGTGCTCGTACAGAAATAACTTGGGCCTCCCGCTAGCCGCTCATTTAGGTTATGGATCGTGGGCATACCCTGGGCCAGAAGCTATTTTAGCAAGTAAGATGATAGCAGTGAGTCAATAAGGCAGCCAGACCAAGCCTAGGATATCTATCACTCTATTTGACCACCGACCCAAATAAACTGGGCGTCGGAGGTAAGTTTCCGATTTAGTAGTAAAGCCTATTCTCCGCCTAAGCATTGGAGCTTGAACGCGATAGCATACGGTACATGCGATCATTAAGCATCACTCGCAAGCCCCCTCCTCCAGCCGGGCATTTCTCTGTTGCGCTGTTCGAACTAGGGGTTTATTTCCACCTCTCTTAATCGCCGGAAAAGAACAAGAGGATATTCCGGTTCTACAGATCTATGCAGGGATATATTATGTAGGAACATATTTTTGATGTGCAGGCACGATAAATACCCCGTGTTCTTCGGCCGATCAGCCAGCAGATTTCTCCCTACACTCGACTTTTTGACTGCGATTGAAGGGAAATTTTTCATCAGCACTCACTCGGGATTTTTTCTTTTTTCTTTTCCTTTTTTCCTTTCCACTCATTCTGCTGTTAGACGGCCATCTGATCACATGCAGGTATTAGGTTATTTCGTGCATCACGCACGTCCCATTTCACCGTCCAATCTTTACATATTTACCGGACAAATACTATACCGGTATTGAATCCATCAAGTCGGTAGCGAATTAGTCGGCAAATGGCCCGAAAAGAAAGGACTGCTTCGTGGGGGGGGGGGTTCATCTTCTGAGGTGAACCAGATCTAGAAAATTTAGGCTTGATTGTGAGACGCCTCTTGTTTTTTTTTTTTCTCCCACCCCGCTCCATTCGTAATTACCACACCATTGGCGAGAATCACATTTGACCTCTGGAGCCCAAACAATTTTGCCTGAGCCACGGGGAGAGCTGGTGGGCCGTGGTGATGATATTTTACATGCTCTGAAAGTGACGCGTCAAATTTGCCCTACCACGTACCGGTATCACTGATCTCTTTAATTCCTGCACTTTATGAGGGGGATTGCTCGGACTGGGGATCAGCGCCATCGTACCCACAGATTGGATTCATGATAGGACGCATTTCCAACTCAGGGACGTCGGATTACTGCAACTGGCAGACCCCGCCCTGTTGATTGGGGAGACAATGGCATTGGCATATTTCTCGGTACGTATGATACCCTATTGTAGATCCAGAGAGTTAAGGTGGATCCCTCCTTGTCTCAGTTGCCGCGCCTATCGCACGGCAGGGCCGCCGCCCTGAAAAAGTTGACGCTTCACATAATATAGTAATTTTTACTTCTTTTTGCCCGTTAGTCAAAATCTCCCAACTGATCAGCTCCCGACACCGGCCCGGCAATTGCATCTGTGGGCAGCAATCAACCCTCCATATCAACTCCGCACCAGCGCTCTATGCATGCTCCCCTGGTGGGCAGCAAGCATACCGGCGATGCACTTCCTGGGAGTTATCCGACTTGCAATTGGCCATATCGCCTGCATCGGAGGATTCATCCTCCTTCCCAGGTCTTAGTTATTGGGGTAGAATCAGGTAACAGGTTGGCTGGGGAATTCTCGCGATCACAAAAATTTTCTTAGCAACCCCCCCCCCCGCCATCGTAAATCCGTTGTGTACGCTGAGACATATCCATAGAGCTTTTTTTTTCGGCTCAATTCGGCCGTTCCAACTCCCCACCAATGATCGAGAGTGAGCACTATCGTGTAGTATGGCAAACTGAGGATACCCAACACGTCAAACGTGGTGTATATGCTGTGCTATAAATGTTTTAAATTTCCAGAGTTGATAGAGAAGTCAGCCGCACTACGTTTATCCGGCATATCGACGTGCCGGAGGGGCGCAGGTGTGGCCGTCTGGATCTAATTGCTGATGTTCGCAGCAAGTGCATGGGGCACTGTGTTGTCAAAGCTCGAATAGGTATCTATCACCGCAACCCGACCCTCCACACAGATCGCTCTTCGCGCTGACCAATGGATGGAATGAACGAGGGAAGGGCATCTCCATCAACCACAACCTGATAGGCAAACTAGGTGGTTTGCTTTGGAGTCCACATTCCGCGATGAGATTGCGAGCCCCGTAATTTACACTATTCATGTACCAGCCTTGTACCTCCCGGTTTGGGGATCCCTGCGCCTCGCCGCCGGGTCACATTACGATCGGCGCTCTGCCAAGCCGTAAAGCTACCAAATAACGGGTTCGATATTCTGCAAGCGTGCCGTATGCGACACTCTGAATTGTGGATTAAGGTTCGGAAGCACTCATTCTTTGAGGGTATAGTGGAAAATATATGGGTTAAATAGGAAACACCTTGCCCCCAGTTCGCAAGAAGAGGTGAGCGGATTCGCGATATAATATATCGGAGTGCGGGTCCGTCAGACTGCCAGAAATCAAGACGCTCCACACCAGACAAGCGTTTTGACGCAATTCGATGAGTCCCGGAGTTCCATAAATTATGAATCCCCTCTTTGAAAATACAATGGGTCTGTGAGCTCGCGTAGTCGGTTATCCTCTTGTATCAGAACATTTCAGCAAGTACGAAACTTTCCGGGTACGAAAAAGTCCCCACAGACAGCGACCGGCTCACGAAAATCACTGGGAAACCTGGTATTAAAAACCGCCCTGGAGCGGAGACTGCCGGAAAAGCCGGGACATGTGCCAGATCACATTTCGGCTGCAGCATCGAACTACCGATATTTACTTACAGTTTCCTGTGACTCTTCGTATCCGGGGGAGAGCCTTGCTTTGTGCCGCCTGGCGATGCAGTTGGTCACATCACTGCTGCGATATCCAGCAAGTGGAAGCCAGGTGATCGGGTGTTTCTACTCCCAAATGCATTCCGGTAGCAGGTCTCCTGCTAGCGAGATATGCATACCAACTGGTCTCTCGGAAATCGAACCCATGGGCGGGGGGTTGGTCCAATATCCAGTTATGAAGGAGAGTAACATCTTTCGTGCGCCTGCCGACCCACGACGTGAAGAAGCTGTGGCACTAGCAACTGCTTGTACAGCGGGAGGTGTGATCAGCACCCTATTTTGCGGGCCGCGATCCATTCAAGCAGGAGTTGTACCGACGTAAGGGGCTAGAGGCATTAGCACTATTTCAGGTATGCTTGGCAAAAATCAAGGGAATGTTAGAACTTAAATATACCGTGTCTCATTCTAATTCGAGGTCAGTTGGCCAAAGATGCTGGGGTCACCGGGACTGCTACGTCGTCGTCAGACGATAAGCTTCAGATCGCGAAAACCCCCAGGGCAAAGCATCCAACCAACAATAAAACCCCACCTAACCAAGCCAGGGCAGCTTTAAATCCGACTAGGGGTATCGGTGCCCGCCGCATGATCGGCTTGGGGGATCTACAACTATCCTCTAGAGTCCACAGGCTGCTAAGGGGGCCTTGTATCCGTGGCGGGTGTTCCGGGTGGGCTCGGAGCGAGAAGGGACCAAGTCCTGTCAGCGCCATATATTTTCGATCTCGAAATAAGTAAGTCAAGACACCTAATTTAAGGGCAGCCAGCACCCATTGCTAAATCTGTTTGATACTGCGAGAGTCATGGTTGCCAGCATGCCGATGGCTGGGCATCTTTGCAAATTTTATGGACTTGTGACATCCACCTTCGTATCGGGAAAACTTTTGACTTAGCCGGGAGGGAAAGACATACTTGAAAGTCTTGAAACAAAGGGTTTCCAGAAAAATTGTAATTGGGGCCCTATTCTGTAGATGCCTTATAACCTTAGGCACTTGGTGGTGTTGGTGGTAAGACAGAAGGAAATTGTGTCTTGAGCATTATTGAGTTTCAACTCTCCGCGAATGAGCGACACCATCACTTCTAG